TTTGAGGTCAGGAGTTCGAGACCAGCCTAGCCAACATAGTGAAACCCCGTCTCTACTAAAAATACAAAAATTAGCCGGGCATGGTAGTGGGCACCTGAAATCCCAACTACTCAGGAGGCTGAGGCAGGAGAATGACTTGATCCTGGGAGGCAGAGGCTGCAGTCAGCCAAGATGGTGTCACTGCCCTCCCGCTTGGGCAACAGAGTGAGACTCTTGTCTCAAAAAAAAAAAAAACAAAAAACAGACAAATCAGGAGGGACACCAAGGAGGAAGCCCTTAACTCTGTTCTGTATTATTGATGAGAAGCATTTGGATTAAGACTTAAGTAATGAATGAGCACTCTCCAGACAGACAGGAGGAAAAGAAGCATGGAGGAGAGTCAGGAGGCTCTGTTTTGGGGAATATTGACAAACTATGTCAGAAAGACAGGCAGAGGCTAGATCAGGAAGGGTCATTTGAGATTGTATTAGGCCACTATTAGGAACAAACAGTGGCATACAATAATCAGCACGTATTTCTCACTGGAGACTGCAGGTGAGCTGGGGTAACCGTGCCCTGTGTGCCATGAATCCTCTCCTGGGGCCATCCTGAGACCAGGTGGCTAGCCTGGGGGTTTTCTTTTTCTGTCACTAGTAGAAGCACAAGAGAAAGAACAGAAATGCATGAGACCTCTTCAGACCTAGGTTTGGAACTAGCAAACTGTCTCTTCTCTGTATTCCATTAGCCAAAGCAAGTTACTTGCCTGAACCCAAGCCAACGGCAGGGAAGCGTTCTCCACCAGTGTGTGGAAGGGATGGCAAAGCCACAGAAGAAGGGACTCAAATAACTTGAAGATGGGGCCAATAATGTAGTTGCCATGGGTCCATATACCCATATTTGTCTAAAAGTGGTTAGAAAAACATATCGATCAAAATAGAAGTCTTTCTTTGAATTATTACTTCCAGAGCCCCAGGGATGCTGAGTATGTAAATGTCTGGGCCCTGTCCTACACCACCTGATTCAAATCTCTGAGCAGAAATGTTGAGGATCTGCATTTTAACTGGTTACCTAGAAGATTATTTCTATTCATCCTGAAAGTTGGGAACCACTGGATGATTAATGAGAAAATAGAAAAAAAAAGTCAAGGAAAAAACATAAAAGGAAATGGGTGAAAAGAGGAAATAGTACCATGAAGAATACTAAACATAGTGGGAAAAGGAATAAGAAAAACCAATGAAAAATGGTATCCAGACAGCAGAGGGGAGAAATTTACAAAGATACGTATGTGTTGAATTTGTCAAATGCTGCTCACAGGTCAAGTGGAACAATAAAGCCCCTATGAATTTGTCAGTTAGGGAATATTATGTGAAAAGAATACGATAGTGATGCCAGGATATCATGAGGCCTGTTTTGCAGGTGAAAAGGGAAAAAAAAGAAAGAGAAGTGGCATGAAATAAAACAAAGATCCACCATCCTTCCATTTCTTCTTTCACAGGTCCTTATGGTCATGGTGAAATTGATGAATTCCACATTTAAACTGACGTAACACCTAAAAAGTTAATTTCTGGCTAATTATTAAAGAAAGAAAAATGACCTCTTTTATATCTTTTGGTTCTGATATCATGCCAGATATTATTGGTAGCATACAGATAGCATACTATATCTAATAACTGAGGCTTTATATATTTGAATAAAGAATTAGTCCCTTAATTCTTCATTATTTCAATACACAGTTCCTTCATTTTTCCATTATTTATCTGATGTTTTCTTAAGCAGGTTAAAGGAAGTCAAATAGCGTATTAGCACTATTACTTGGATTCCCAAGAATTCTCACTAGCATGCAGCATCTTATTCATGTCACAAGCTTTTTCTGAATTTCAGGACCAGATTTCCAGTCTCTAAGGGGTGAAAGCTGAGGTCAGCTTAGAAGGTGCCATGCTAACGAGGGCCTCTCAGAGATGAGGTTCTGATACTGCACTATCAAATTCTGACTTGTCCTATCCCACTCCAACTCACAGGAAGGTACCTTTATTTAAAAGTACGGTTTGCTCAAATGTACGGGATAATTTTTAGAGACACACAAATACATTCACAACTCTATTTCCAAGAACTATTTTGTGGCTTCATTGATTGTGGCAGGGTTGCAGTATGGAAAAGTCAATGCAGCCACTAACGGATTCACCCAGTTTTGGGGGAAGCCCTAAAACAGATCCAGCCACAAACTGGAGACTAAAAGACAAAGTTGAAGGCCTCTCCGTTGAGACCAAGAACTGCAGTTAATTTCTGCCTAGATCAGTGAGTGATTCAATGCACATCTGCTTCTGGAGAGCTTTGTCTACAGAGGCCAAAACCAGTACTAACTATGCTGTGTTAGATTTCTCTTTCCTTTTTCTTTAAGACAGAATCTCACTCTGTCGCCTGGGCTGAAGTAGAGTGGTGCGAACTTGGTGGGATTAGAACTAAAGTATTTCAATTTTAGTTTTTCAAAAAAGGGAAAGCTAGGAAATGCAAAATATACACAGTAGAAATATAATGAGTCTCAAAAGTATGCCTATAAACCTCGGCCTTTTTTTTTCTTGCTAGGCTTAAAAGATAAAAACAAAATAATAGACACACACACACTGCAACCTCCATCTTCTGGGTTAAAGCAATTCTCCTGTCTCAGCCTCCAGAGTAGCTGGGATTGCAGGTGCCTACCACCACGACTGGCTAATTTTTTGTATTTTTAGTAGAGACTGGTTTCCACCATGTTGGCCAGGCTGGCCCTGAACTCCTGACCTCAAAAATTTATCTTTGCTAGATGTCACCTTTTTTTGAGCATTTAAAATGGTGTCTGTAATGCCTGGCAAACATTACATAACAAGCAAACCAGCAGTTAAGTAGCATCTCCATCTTTTAAAATTAAGATTGGATTCTAGACTTCAAGTATTCAGTTTCAAATTCTCAAAAAATGGAAAGCTTAGGAGATGCAAAATATACACAGTAGAAATATAATGATTCTAGGCCGGGCGCGGTGGCTCACGCCTGTAATCCCAGCACTTTGGGAGGCCGACGCGGGTGGATCACAAGGTCAACAGATCAAGACCATCCTGGTCAACATGGTGAAACCCCGTCGCTACTAAAAATTACAAAAAATTAGCTGGGCATGGTGGTGCGTGCCTGTAATCCCAGCTACTCAGGAGGCTGAGGCAGGAGAATTGCCTGAACCCAGGGGGCGGAGGTTGCCGTGAGCCGAGATCGCGCCATTGCACTCCAGCCTGGGTAACAAGAGTGAAACTCCATCCCCAAAAAAAAAGAAATATAATGATTCTAAAACATATGTCCATAAACCTTGGCGATTTTTTTCTTGCTAGGCTTAAAAGTTTTGTAATACATACACACATGCCAAACAGCTCGATTGGTAGGCAGGTTCCTCTAAATGGTCCCTCAGCCCAAGCCCAGTCATCTGCATCTGATGATATCTGACATTAGAAGTTAAGACCATTCTGCCAAACATTCATCCTCCCTTGTTCCACGTCACCATTTAATTTGGGAAGAAGGGACAAAGGCTTTCACACAAAGCAGCAAACGGTAGTAGTGTTATGAATATGGGCCACGGTACAGACTACACGGGTTCAAATCCTGATTCTGTTGCTTATGGTAGACCTCAGGCAGTTTACTCAACTTCTCTGTGCCTCAGTTTCCTGACCCACAGAATGCAAATGTTACTAGTACTTCCTCCAGATGGTTCTCATGAGAATTAAATGAGGTATAACAAAAAATGAGCTTAGAAGGGTGTCTGGCTCAATAACTGTGAGCTATGATTGTGTTCAGAGATCTCTACATATTTTGAAAAAAAGGCTTAATTGTCCCACTGCTTTAAAGTTTTGAATCTTCTGAGGTTGGGGGATGTCAGAAATCAAGTCTCAAAGTGTAGGAGGTGAGATCTGTGCAAACTCAGCCAAACCCTAACACATTTCTAAGTGATTGACAAGCGGTATTATGTCTCTCAGAGTTCATTTTACCCTGCAACAAAGCTTAGTCCTAAGAGGTGCATTTAATGTGGAATTTCAATCTCTCTAAGGCAGGTGGGGAGAGCCCCGTAAGAGCCTAGGAAACCATGCCCCACTGGTTTACTCTGCCTACTTGTACAAATCCAGCTATGTGTCTTGTCAGAATTAGTTCTACTAAAAAACTAGACACCTCTCTCTCTCACACACAAAGGGTTCTCTGATTTTGACTTCGTTCTCTGAAAGTTTAAGTCTGAGTATGAATGTAAAACATCTGATGCCTCCTCAAAAAAAAAAGTGGAAAAGAAAAAGTAAGCTGTCTCATGACTCAATTTCTTTTTTGGTATTATTTAAAGACACACAAAGCCTAGAGAAGCTCCTGAGAGATGCTGTCATCTATGGCCAGCCTCGAACCCGCAGAGCTTGGAAAAAGATTCTCATCCTGGTGGAGGGTACCTACAGGTATGTAAATAACCAGACACATTTTATGACTCGGAGGCCTGCAGCAAGCTGACCAGTGTGGAAAGGCTTTCCTAACAAAATAGAGAAATGAGTTAGATACGGTTATTACAAAGGGACCTGAGACATAACCACCAATGGGAGCTGTCAGTTTTGTGTCAACTGTCTTTCTGATGACTCTATATATATGGCAGAGCAGTTTGGAGGCTGGCATGCTTGTGAAGGCTTCCTCAAATGTCCTCGAAAGGCATTGCTAACTTGAGTTGATTCTTTCCACTACCTTTGACTGCCCCAGAGTCTCAAAGACCTTTCGCAGCTGGGTTATTCAAGCTCAGAACACTCCTTGCCTTTATGACTAGCAGGTATCGTTGATGGGTGGTGCAGATGCCCCTACCTGGATAGCACACCCAACCCCCAGCTGTTTGGTGAACTTGGTCAATGATTGCCATCAGAATACAAAAGATCTGCCTGTTTTCCTCAAGGTAGGAGTAACCTGGAGTGGAGTGCAATTCTTGTTCCAAAGCCAGGGGGTAGGAATGGGATGATGTCTAGTCCACAAACCAAGGAGATGTTATTTCAGAGTGCCCACTCCTAAATCAATTCTCGAACAATCCTAGTGTTAGACAAATTGAGGGAGATATCTCCTATAATGATAGAAAAGTGAAAATATTAAAAGGAAGGAAGCGAAGGCTGTTTACTGTTAAGATGAGGAGTGTGGCTACAAAGGAGACTTGAGAATAGACACAGGATTCTTTCAGCTCGCTAATCTCATTAGTCCCTGAGTGTACATTTTTTTTCTGCTACATGAATGAATAACAAGCAACAGCAAAGTGTGTGTGCCTCCATCCCTTTTGGGTGGGGGGGGAGTAAATTCTCCCAACTTTAAAATAATAATAATGAGCTTGGATTCATTTTATTTTTAACATTTTTAACTTCAGTACTTACTGGCCGCATGGCTAGGGTTCTGGATGTTCCCGGTTCTCCTTGGGAAATCCAAAGTTTGCATTTCCAGTTTCTAGTAGCTCACCTTCCGCATCACCTCTCGGCACCTCCTACAGCCAGCCCAGGGAGTACGCACTGTTGAAGTCTTTGGTAGCACTCTGGACCAGTAGTTCTCCAGGGTGAGCTTGTCCTTGCTCCAGCCTAGGCACATGTGACAATTTTCATTTGTTATAACTGCATAGTGTGTGACTGCCATATGGCAGACAGGCCAGGGATGCTACTAAGCATCCTATGATGCACGGAACAGCCCCCACACCAGTTATCTAGCTCAAAATGCCAATACTGCCAAGGCTGAGAACACCTGTTCTGGTATAACTGACAACTCATTAGCCCTAAACTTATTGTTTTAAGAAATAATCTCATGACAAGCATGGATCTTTTTCCCTGTGTGATTTTGTGCCTGCTGCCAGGCTGGGAGGGGAACAAATAGTACTTAACTAAGCCTGTCATTCAGGCCTAGATTCGTGGGAGGATGGATCAGCTGAGAGAGAGCAGACTGGGCATCTACTTTAACCAGAGTAAACAAAACCCAACGGCAAATAAACAGAACTTGGCTCCATTAAAGGAAAGTTAGGTCTTAAGCACTTTGATGATGGCTGAAGCTAAGTAGACCACTGGCATTTTACCAGCAAATATTCCCATCAGCTACACAGAGAAGCCACTCCAGCAGCAGGACTTGTTAGTGGCCGTGCCAGGTCTGAAGGACAAGGGAGCCAGGTGTGGACTTCAGCTCCAAGCCAGAGTGGCACCAAATGGCAATTTTCGTGGCACTAGCAATGGCGACTGCTCAGTTACCTATTGCCATGCAGCAAACCACCCAAAGCATAATGGTGTATCATTTCCCATGCTACTGTAGGTTGTGTGGACCAACTGAGCAGTTCTTCTGCTCCACATGGGGCTGGTTGGAGGCCACTCCTGGGACTTCATTCAGCTGACAGTTTGTCTGGGGCTGGAACATCCATAATGGCCTCACTTGCACATCTGGCCCTCAGTACCAGCTTTCGCTAGAGTACCATGCTCGCTTCCACATGGCTTTCTCTATAGACAGTCTCTTCTCCTTGCTTAGTCTTACAACATGATGCTGGCTTCCAACAGAGCAAAGGCGGAGGCTGCCAGTGCTGAGACATTATTACTTCCGCCCTGACCTATTGACCCAAGCACATCATGAGGCCGGCCCAGATTCCAAAGAAGGTGAAATAGACCCTACCCCGTGATGGAGGATCCACTTGTATATACAAGGATGAGAAGCTCTGCAGGCAGCCATCTTTGGAAGCCATCCACCATAGCGGCTCAATGGACCTAGTGATGACACAGAGTGAAGGCCCCACTTTCTATGAATTTTCCTTCACAAGGAGGTTCCTTTCATTTCACCCACACAGGAATCTTGACTTTAAATGAGACCAAGATTTAGAAGGCCTCATTCACAGATAGGAAACAGGGCATCTCACTGACAAGCCTCAGTAATCTTGGGGGCCTAAATTTCCTCATCTGTAAAATAAACATAGCCTAGAGAAGAGTTCTAGAGCTTTAATCTTCAAAGGAAAAGCCTTTATATAGGCATTCTAATTTGCAACTACCACCAGATATTTCCCATAAGGCCAGGTGCAATGGCTCATGCCTGAAATCCTATCACTTTCGGAGACCAAGGCGGGCGTATCACTTGAGGTCAGGAGTTTGAGACCAGCCTGGCCAACATGGTGAAACTCCACTTATACTAAAAATACAAAAATTGGCCAGGCATGGTGGTGTACTCCCATAATCCCAGTTACTCAGGAGGCTAAGGCACAAGAATCACTTGAACCTGGGTGGCGGAGGTTGCAGTGAGCTGAGAGCATGCCACTGCATTCTGGCCTGGAAGATAGAGAGAGACTCTGTCTCCAAAAAAAAAAAATTATTTCCCATGGAATTTTCCAAAGGTCCAAGGTTAAGAATGTGAAGTCAATAGTTCACAAATGCACTTCTACTTTTTAGAGGTATATTAGGAATGCATATCTTGTTGATACCCACACAAAGCCGCCCTTGAATTTTAACTCCCAGGTTTTTTCCTCTTGCTTGTTGTCTGCCACCATGGGTAAAGTATCCCTACATATGTAACCACAGAGCCCACATATATCAATTTTTTCATATCCCCCAAAGAGAGCAATCAGTCAAATCAGAAGGTTTCAGGCAGATATTAAGATAGAAAAGGCTAGATACCCAGTCTGAGAAGTCAGAAAACTCCACAAAACTAATAATAATAATGTCATCATTCATAGGTATTATTATTCATATGTAGAATATAGAGGAGCCAGGATTTTGAGGCAGGCCTGGGACTTAGGTTCAAATCCTGGCATCACCACCTACATCCTTGTGGCCTCCATAGGGTACTTTTGTAATAACAAGTATTCAATGAGGTCATATAAGCTAGTGCTTGGCTGAGGCCCAGCCCATAGAATGCAAACAACCAAGAGTGGCCGTCTTCATCATCACATTGATTTCCAGTCTAAGAAGTCACAACTCAGAAAACGTAAGTCATCTATGTTGCAAGCCTGTTTGCTCTTCCTCCACCCAGAAAGTGGATGTCAGAGAAAGAAACTCACATTGACCATGTGTCTACTCCTTGCTAAACATTTCCCATGTGCAACCTTGAGTAAGCCTTCAAGTATTCCTGAAGTTACTGTGAATATGAAGAAACTGAGGCTCAGATAACTTAGATAACTTGCCCCAGGACACATAACTGAAATGACGCAGAGCTGGTATTAAAACCAGGCGGCCCTGATGGGACCTGAGTCCCAATGTAAATGAAGAGTCAGCCAATGTGTCCATATCCAATGAAGTAACATGGAAAATGCAAGATCATCCATTTGACCTTTACCATTAACCTATCTAGGGCTCAGTTGCTTCAACTGTAAAACAGGGACATTGAAACTTGAAATTCAGAGTTTCATGAACCCTTAATAATATTATTTCAGTGTTCTGATCTGTATGTTTTCATTAAGTATCGTTTTTAAATCGCATTTTTCTAATTTGATGTCTCTGAGAAGTCTAGGTCCCTTGTCAACTCACAATGGTTGAGAATCTCAGAATTACTCAAAAATATCCTTGAGTTGTGGTGTCCCAGGTAACCTGGGATATACACTAGCATAGCTGGAGCTCAAACTAAAATTAATGAAGGAATGATAGTCATCTCTTCCAAAACAAACACATACATAAACATATGCACGTATGCTATAGTCTCAGAAGACCATTTACTCTAAGGATGTAAGCTATTCTCCTGTCCTCAAAATAACGTAAATTGAAGGACTGAGAACTTCAGTGGTAAATTCTTACCGCATCTCTATGGTTTAAGCAAATAAAGAAAAAGAATAAGAAAACGGTAATGACTTTATTGTTAATTGATCTTAACTCCCTTTTTCTCTCTTTCCACCTTGCTGTCTTGTTTTGGGTTATACTTTAGGCCCACCAAGGAGATTTTTCCACCATGTGAGTTAGCTAGCCAGTGATTAAATTCTCAATCCTGCCAGTGGCTAATATGCTTTATACGTGGAGGGAAAGGTGGTGAGAGGGAGATTTCAAAAAGGAGGCTTGTCACTTAGCTAATACATTATGTAATAGAAAAGACATAAAGGAATTATTCACTGGCTTGATGGTTTAAAAATAATTCAAGTCCCTGCACAGAGCTTCAAATTAACTCGTGGAATTATCTGTAGCTACAGTTGTATTTTTGTTGTTTTTCTTCTATTGAAGTCGAAAGAAAAACACAACCTTCCACTCAGGAAGAAAGAACAAGATGCTGTTCTTGTTTTCTGTGTCATTTTTGGCACCGTTTTTTGACAGCAATTCATGTGAATAACATAGATAGCCTTTTTATGGCTGCACGAGACTCAATATCCCACTATGGGAAAAGGCCGAATTCAAATTTGATCACACTGTGAAAATGAAAACTTAGTGTGGATGAATATAACTCTATAAAAGCTGAGTTCTCCCTAGGACTCTATGTGTGCCCTGCATTAACTTCAGAAGTCAGCAGTATTGTAGAGTCATTAATCTTAGAGGAAGAAATATAAACCAGGTGGGCAGGCTCCTAACATCAGCTAGACCAGCCCCATGGAAAGATGGTTAATTAGCTGCCTGCAGTGTCTGCAAACACTGTAGAACATTAACTTTGGCTCCTGTCAATTTCAGTTCCAGAACAAAGAATGGCTGTTTGTGGCAAGTCGGGTTTTTGGTATATTTGTGTTACCAACTTATAACATTTTAAAGAGAAGAAAATTGTAGAATTCTGAGGACCTGAGGCCATTTATGACATCCACCATGACACCTACATGCCTGACTACTATAATATTCAACATAGAACATTGTCAAGGGCTCCCAATATCCCAAGTTAGGACTCATTGCCATCGTTTCCTCCTGTGCTTCTCCTCCTAAGGACCATAACAATTCACTGAATGCCCAACATGGATCATGTAGTTTACAAGCATGATTTCAAGTGATTGCTATAAAGACCCTGTGAAGAGGGGCCCATCATCCTGTTTGTATTACACATGAGGAAACAGGCAGAGAACATCATACAAATTTTCCCCAAGTTCACAGTTAGTACGCTTAAGCAGTCAGCAGACATGTTTCCATGTCTTCCCCTCCATGGAAACAATTTTAACAAGCAATTAATTTAAGAACATGCTGTAATGAACTCACAAACTTACATAAGAAAAGATAACTCTATTTGGCCTTTATTTCATTAAAATCTGAACTCAGCCACTCAAAACTACTTTGTGACACACACAAATGCTGCACCCAATGATCACGATGCTCTCTCCAAACCAACACGGGTTGGTCTGAGTAACTGTGCACACAACCAGCTGGACTGTTTTGAATGAATCAACCTAACACCTAAGTTTATTTTTAATAAATTCAATTTAATCTAATAGGTAATTAGGGAGAAAAAGAGAAGTTCAACTCTGTTTGATTCAATTAATGAGCTCTTGAACCAACTTGCTTGAATTGTCTGAGTGTGTCTGTGTGTTTTCATACAATTCACCTATCAGTACAGTCAAAACTGTGTGCAAATAGACACAGCTTGCAAAGTGTTCTAAAAACTGATGAGTGTCAGATTTTTTAATCCATTGAGTCCTAGAGGTGCCATGTAAATATAAATTGTAATTTTACTTATTCATGAACTTCATTTTTTCCCTTTGTGCCAGAGGATGTAACAAGCTTCCAAGGAGGGTATTTGTTAATTAAGAGCATTTCTCCTCTGCCCTAGCATGGAAGCTTCTATCGTGTATCTGCCCCAGATCACAGGACTTGAAGTGCTTTTGCAACTTACAATATCATGAAAAATAAAATTGGGTTTAAAACAAAAGAATGCATCTAGAGCAGTGGCCCTCTATGTGTGGTCCCCAACCATTGTGGCAGCATCTTCTGGGAGCTTGGTAGAAATGCACATTCTCAGCCCACCACATACCCACTGAATCAGAAACTCTGGGGCAGGAGTCTAGCAATCTGGTGTTTTAACAAATGCTTCAGAGGATCTGATGCTCACTCAACTTTCTGTTCCTTTGCCCTAAAGGACAGAAAGAGGAGACACCTCAGCCTTTGACTTGCAGTGGGTATTGAACAAGAGGTCTTAAAGACTTCCTAGTGCGCTTTAATTAATACTACGATATCTTAAATAAAATTCTGTGTCTTTTTAATTCGTTTTTTAATCTATGGCAATTCAAGCACTGAGTTTAGGTCAAACTGACCTGGCCAAACAGGCAATACCAGGCAGATAAAGGGAATGACCGTAGAGTAATTTCATCTATTCTAGCAGAATATCTAGAATCCAAATGGTCAGTCTAGTTACACTAGCCGGCTTCACAAATTGTTTGGAGCAAGAATGCAGTGAGCTGATTGTTTGCTTGGGAATTAGCTGAAACTGAAAGCACTTAAATCCATCAAATTGAAATTATTTTATCCAAGTAGCAGAGAAATGCCCAAGTGGCCTTACAAGATTGAGAGGGTTGTCTCAGCCAAACAAAACCTGCCTTCAGAACAAAGGAATGGCTTGTCTCTGTCGTCCCTGATGTGCATCAGGGCAGACTGTCTAGGATGTATTGATGGGAAAACTGACAGAGCTTCCCAGGAGGGAATTTGTTAGTTATGAGCATTTCTCCTTCTACCCTAGCATGGAAGGTTCCATCGTGCATCTGCCCCAGATCCTAGCTCTAAAGAAGAAATACAAGGCTTACCTCTACATAGATGAAGCTCACAGTATTGGGGCCGTGGGCCCAACTGGCCGGGGTGTCACGGAGTTCTTTGGACTAGACCCTCACGAAGTTGATGTGCTCATGGGCACATTCACCAAAAGCTTTGGAGCTTCAGGAGGTTACATAGCTGGAAGGAAGGTAAGACAGGGACTCTTCGTGTCTGTTTAAAACCTGAGCACCCTGGGGATGGGGATGCAGTGTGTAGGGCTTCTCTGCATTTCCTGAAAGCTTCAATTCAGTTCACCACACCTCAGCTGATCACTGCAGCTTGGCTCCAGTGGGTTCACAGCCAGATAAGGCCCAGAATGTTGAGGAGCTCCCTTGAATAGTGAAGAGGAGCATGTGATGAGTGATCGCATTATAATAAAATGACAACACTGACCATATACAAAGGGGCAAAGCACCAGGGAGAGGAATAATTAACTTTGTTAAGTCGTATCTTATGTTAATTAAGAGCATTTCTCCCTCTGCCCTAGCATGGAAGCTTCTATCATGTATCTGCCCAGATCACAGGACTTGAAGTGCTTTTGCAACTTACAATATCATGAAAAATAAAATTGGGTTTAAAACAAAAGAATGCATCTAGAGCAGTAGCTCTCTATGTGTGGTCCCCAACCATTGGTGGCAGCATTTTCCGGGAGATTGGCAGAAATGCACATTCTCAGCCCACTGCATACCCACATGGTTTAGAATGAATGTCCGTCTTGTAGACAAATAATGGGGGGGGGAGCATATTTAACACAGAGAGAGAATAATGAATACCAAGTCACAGACCTGATAAGGGGACATCACAAAAACTATAAGCAGTTTGGGTTTTGTGGCACTGAAAAACACAAGGAAGGTAATAGCAACAGTAGGCAAATGTTAGTTAATAGGGAGGCTGATCCTATACTACAAGTTGTGGGTTTTAAGAGTTTTCATTAAAATGGTGGCAGGAATATACTTTTAAGAAATTTTCTCTGCAAAACAATTTTCCGTAATATTGCATAAACCATAGGTCAAATCCTGCCATTCTCCAGTATTTTATCTATATGCCTTAAAAATCCTCATCTACTGGCAGTAGACTGTTCAGTGAGTGTTTGCACTGTCATTCTAGTGCCAATATCACCAAGAGGTTTGTGAAAAGAAAACAAATATTTGAGAGAGATTTACAAGGAAGGAAAGGAAGGAGACAAAGAAAATCCAATAAATCCAATATTCAGACCTGGGTTTGAAGGATAAAGGAGCCAGTTGTCTGACCTGTGAGAGGACAGCCTTGTCCAAATTCTGACAGCTATCTCAGACAAACCTACACCTGTCCCAAAGAACCAGTGTGACAGTGATGCTGGCTCAGCCTAAGATGCCACACCAGGCCAAACCTGGTGCATGCAAGTGGTATCAACAAAAATCCCTGTTTCCCTTCCTATTGTGATGAACGGGATGGTAAACCCATTAGACAAACCAAGAACTGCAGCCACAAACCGTCCTCTCATTGAAAGCTCATGATTTAAAACAACGGATTTACTTCTGGCCACTGGCTCTGCCTTAAAATGTTTGGAGTTTTAAGTGGTCTTTACCCTTCAATAAGTACTGCTTTCTTTCAGGCCCAAAGCATTGTTTTTCATTCCCTCTCCCCTGACCTGTGGGAATTAGCGGGGTAATGCTAAAACCATTGGAAATGCCCAGAATCTTGCAAAATTCAGCTAAATCTGGTGAAAAGTTAAATGTTTCCTTCCTAGACTGTCGAAGCAGTAAGATCAGAGAGTCTCAAATTTAGAAGCTCCCTGTTCCTGGCTGCATTGCTCTGTGAGCTTGTGGTTTTGTGATTAGCAGCAGTAAAAACCACAAAATTTTTAACCAAGCATAACTCTGTTTCCTGAACCAAAGGCACCTGAATAAACTAAAGCAAGACAATCCTTGAAATGTTGTCAAATTTGGTGGATGTCACATTCCCCCCGCCAACAGAGTGCCTTCATTTGATACCCACTTAAACAAAGCCTTGCGACTAGCAGAAGTAAACACCAGTTCACCATGATTCTCTCTCATGCTCTCCATTCTGAGGTCAGCTGGAGTATGTTTAAGGTGTAGTTGCTCCTGTCTACACAATTTCTATTCATTTGGGGTAGATACTGAGAATTGTGAAAATTACCACTATTTACATTAATCAGGATGCAAAAACAGTATGTACATCTGTTCCTTTTCTTACCTTTTAAAATGCTCATTTTATGCATATTTGGATCCAGAGGGCCGCGTTGTTCATTCCCCCTCCTCTCCCTCCTTTTTCTTCCCCATCTTTTATCTTCTCTTCTTTTCGTGTTACAATGCAGTGTCTAAATTTACCACTAGATGGCAGCAAGAATTAGAGCGTGTCTGGCAGAGACTGAGATCTACTGACCTAAACAGTAAGATGCGGCCCGGCGCGTTGGCTCACGCCTGTAATCCCAGCAGTGTGGGAGGACGAGGTGGATGGATCACGAGGTCAAGAGATCGAGACCATCCTGGTCAACATGGTGAAACCCCGTCTCTACTCAAAATACAAAAAATTAGCTGGGCGTGGTGGCGCGTGCCTGTAATCCCAGCTACTCAGGAGGCTGAGGCAGGAGAATTGCCTGAACCCAGGAGGCGGAGGTTGCGGTGAGCCGAGATCAAGCCATGGCACTCCAGCCTGGGTAACAAGAGTGAAACTCCGCCCCCTGCAAAAAAAAACAGTAAGATGCAAAACGTTGAAAAACAGCGGTTTCCAAAACCTGGGCAGTGAGCAGGAAACGGGGGCACTTGAGAAAGTGCATGTATTATCCCTGAAGACTTAAGAATCAGTCACATACACACCTATGTGAAATGGCTTTGGTGGGACTGTGATAAACCCAGATACACTGGCTTCCTTTTGGCCTAATGAGTCCATGATTTAATGGAACTTATATATCTGTTCCTTTGTACCTTTAATTGTTTTAATTATGTTAATTTTTCATATATAATTTCAAGTTAAATTATATATTTTATCCCTATGAACTTTAGACAATTTTGTGAAAAATTTTTACTTTCAGTCTGTTAAATTATGCTTTTATTTTATTTATTTATTTTTTTTTTTGAGACGGAGTTTCGCTCTTGCTACCCAGGCTGGAGTGCAATGGCGCGATCTCCGCTCACCGCAACCTCCGCCTCCTGGGTTCAGGCAATTCTCCTGCCTCAGCCTCCTGAGTAGCTGGGATTACAGGCACGCGCCACCATGCCCAGCTACTTTTTTGTGGTTTTAGTAGAGACGGGGTTTCACCATGTTGACCAGGATGGGCTCGATCTCTTGACCTCATGATCCACCCGCCTCGGCCTCCCAAAGTGCTGGGACTACAGGCTTGAGCCACCGCGCCTGGCCCTAAATTATGCTTTTTAACCGAGACAACATAGGATTGGGCAAATACTAAAGATTTTTGAAAAAAACTACTACTTGTATGTTTAAGTAATTAGAGTACAGTTTTCAAACTCTGATAACTACTTTAAGATAGAGATAGATTGATAGAGAGTTGATAGATTAATAATCTTCCAGATACTTGGCTGTATATATCTCAATTTAGTATATATTGCAAAATAGCTAGGATTCTAAGCCTATGTATACAAAAGCAACAAAATTAACCATAAAAAAGCTGAAGTATACATACTGAGACTTGCTGTTTTTCTGAAGCTGTATATAATTTCAATTTTGCTGTGCTCATGGGGTCCTCAGTAAACCCTGAAAATAATCAGGCTCAAAAATCTAGAAAAAAAAGATAAAAACATCTGGCTCTTAACTCTCTTTTAAAATGATGTTAATATTGGTATAGAGGGACTGTATTCCCAAGAACAGTATCTAGGAGGTTCTGGAAATCTTAAATGTGTCAAGGTCAGAGCTGTATATATTAGCAACCAGATGAGTCGTGTAGTAAAATATATTTAGAAAAAAGGAGAAAAAAGGGGTTTAGCATGATGGTGCCACCAGAGAAAACAGAGGTTTTGTTTTGACCTCAGAAGCTTTTCCTCACAAAGTGTCCTACAAATTCACCTCTGCTAATTGGAGGTTTCTGTCAGGCTGGGATTCCCTCTTTCCACCTCCGTGAAACTGCTGACGGTCTGTCCAGAGCCAGCCGAGTTTTGCTATTTTGCTCACTTAGAGTTTGGAGCCACTATAGATGCACAGTGAACAGCATAACTTGGAGGAGTCTGTCCCTTCAAGACCTTCTTGATGCAATTTCAGATAATGACTTCTCTCCAGCTGTCAGAGCTCCATGCCATGAATGGCTTCTTTGAAGGAAAGGCTACGCTGATGGGACTAGGTTTCTTATTTTTATTCTTTCAAATTTGTACTGATCCTGTTGCTGGAAAGATGTGGTCAATGTCACCAACCCCAAACTTTTCCCCAGCAAAGGATCTTGAGTCCACTTGCGTGCCTGGTGCTGAACACTGGCTCCCACAGCCTCCACGGGCTGACCAGAGACTTGCAAATGAATGAAGCAAGGTAGCCTTTGTAACTGATAGATTTCAGGGCTGGAATTCTGAAGAAGGGAAGTGGGACAGGGCAGACACATTTCAAGTGAGTGTTAGCCCCAGCAGCCTGCATGCCAGTCAAAGGCAGGTTGACCTGAAAAGCTAGCTCTGCCCTGCACGCTAGGCCCTGGCTGTAATTTAACATCCCTTTGAAGTAAGCAGGGGTCAGGGAATGAGCACTAAAATTTTTATTCAAAGCGTCTCCTGTCTGATTTCCTCCCAAAAAGCCACCCTTGTCCTTGAACTTCAGGCCTATGGGTAGAGAAAACAATGAGGGTTTTGAACTTCCAAATTGACTTGGAAACCTCGGTAAGAGGAGACCTCTAACCCACCCTGAAGAAGACATGACCCAGACTCGCCCTGCAAAAGACTAAAGCCACCTCTTAACTCATGGCTCATAGCACCAGAAGGGGGAACTAGAGGAGGAATTAGTAGCCAGGAATCAAGGCTCTTTCTGATGCTCTCCAGAAGTTACCCAAAGAGCTCCATTTTTTGAACCACACAAACGCAAAAAGTCTGAGTTTCCATCCACAAACTCAGACCTTGAGAGAAAGTGAACTCAGTCCAAAAAAAAAAGTAAAATCCTGGACAAGATAGTCTTAACATTGAAAGAGACTGATGCTACCCTGATGCTACAGTATTTT